GCACCATGTGCATCCTGCTGGGTTAGAAACACCAGTGGCTCAGCCTCAAAACTCACATCAACACGTCACCACGGTAGGACAAACCGACAGACAAGTTTGCCTCCCTGTTGGAAACCTCTCGTACTACCCTTACCTGGGTCCCTGCGGCTGACTGCTCCTCTGTCCAGGTTCCTGGCTTTTAATCCCCTTTCTCCCGATCTCCCGCCCTGCTGCTTTGGGCATGCCTGAGTTCCTCTCCCCAATTGGATCCCTGCGGCTGACTGCTCCTCTGTCCGGGTTCCTGGCTTTTTTATCTCCTTTCTCCCGCTCTCCCGCCCTGCTGCTTTGGGTGTACCTGATTTCCCTCTCCTCACTTGGATCCCTGCGTCTGATCCAAAAGATCTCAAAAGATGGATGCATATAAATTCAAGGTCTCCAGTCTTAACTGAATCTTTAATACTCCTTGCCTTTCCCAGTCAGTTTTCTCTTCTGTTCTTACAGTGATTATTTCAAACCTTCTCCATTCTTTTGAAAAATTTGATACTTTCATTTCCTCTCTCCCTTTCAGCAGATAACTTTGCTTCCTATTTCACAGAGGACAAAGTAACCATTGAACAAGTCCTTGATTTCCTCTCAATTAAAAACTCACCTGATTTCCTATCCACTTTCCTTTTCCTCCTCCTGTTATAATTGGCAAGATGGCCCATCTCTTGGCTAAAGCTAGTCTCTCCTTGTACTCTGAATCCTTACCCTGTAATTTGGGGACTCTCTCCCATAACCATTTAAACTTTTTCTCTTTCCGCAGATCTATATTCTATTCTCCCCTTCACAATGAAACTTTTTGGGAAGCATTATCTACATTCACCCTTTTCACTGACCCATATCCCTCTTACTTCTTAGCTCATTCTCATTCACAATCTCAAAGAATGAGATTGAGAAAGCTATGCTTTCTGCTTTTCATTGGAACTCTTATCAAAATCCTCATCACTTCCTTATTGCTAAATTTAGTATTTTTTATTCCTTATTTTACTTGACTTAGCAGTACTTTAATGCTATTGGCTATTCCTTTTTTTCTTGTATCACTCTTTAATCTGGCTTCTGTGACACACACTTTCCTGATTTTTCTTCCAATTCTCTAGCTACTGCTTCTCAATACCTTGGAGGGGGGCAGTAATTCTTTTTGTTACTTACACGGGAAGTTTCCCTTAGGTTTCTGCCTTCAGGTATTTTTATCATTCAACACACGGGGCCATCTGATCCATTCACATAACTTTTGCTACCCTCTACTTTTTGATGATTCCAAATATATCTCCAGCCCAGGCCTCTCTCTCGAGCTCCAAATGCATACATCCAACTGTCTGCTTAATATCTTCACTTGGCTATTCCACAGACACTTCAAAGGCAATGTGCCAAAAGCTGAACTCATCCCTTCACCTCCAAAAGCAAGGTTCCCTAACTTAGTGAATGTGATGGTTGGAGCTGTGTGTCAACTTGGCTGGACCCCAGTTCTGTGTGGTGGCTCCCATGATGGGATCAGATGACTGAGTTCTGAGTGGCCAGTCTGCCCAAGGG